TATCAACTGTTTAAAAGGTTTTGACAAAAATTGGCGCTGGGTGGCTCTGTAGATATCCTTTTCGATTTGAGAACAGCCATATGCTTTATTTCTTACAAGTTATATTTATTTTTAAGTATCATTTGCTGTTATTTAACAATATTAAAAGAAGTCTGTACTAAATACCAGATTGCTGGTTACTAGTTGGAATTTCTGTTGCAGAAACGGAAAATCTTGACTTGCTCGGGTGTGAGGACAGGCGGGCCTGCCCACAGAACCCTTGGGTGTGTGTCTTACATTAGAATTTGATCTTTCAGGTCAGGTGCCTGTGGCTCATACTTGTAATCCTGGATACTCAGGAAGCTGAGATTTGAGGATCATGGTTAGAACAAGCCCAAACTGACCAATCTGATAGAGTTTTATCTCCAATTGACTAGCAAAAGTCTAGAAATAGAGGCATAGCTCAAGTGGTAAAGCACCATCCTTGGATGAAAAAGCCACGTGAGATTGAGGCCCTGAGTTCAAGCCCCAGTAGAGGCACAAAACAAAAAATCCCTTAAGTTTTTAGGAGATCACTTTGCAGGGAGTGGAAAGGTGGGGAGGCTCTGGGCTGCTCTGGTGCGCAGGGGAGAGGCGGAGACCTGGACAGGGGTGGCTGGAGGCCATTACAGATTGTCAGTAGTGGGGCTTGAACTCTGGGCCTGGGCGCTGTCCCTCAGTTCTTCAGCTTAAGGCTAGTGCTCTACCACTTGAGTCACAGCACCACTTCTGTTTTTTTAAAGTGGTTAATTGGAGATAAGAGTCTCACAGGGAGTTTCCTGCCTGTGGTGGCTTTGAACTGTGATCCTCATCTCAGCCTCCTAAGTAGCTAGAATTACAGGCGTGAGCCACTGGTGTGCACTAGGCTTGAATTTATCTCTTAAAAGGTGCTTCAAGGTGGGCACTGGAGACCCATTCCTAGAATCCCAGCTGCTTGTGGGAGGCTGAGAATGGGAGGATTGTGGGCAGAACCCCTTGCTCAGTGCATGGCACACACCCGTCATCCCGTGCTACGTGGAAGGGTGAGATTACGAAGATTATGGTTTCAGGCCAACCCAGGTAGAAACAGTGCACAGGACTTTCCCTCCATGGAGCAAGGCTGGGTGCGGTGAGAGGAGGCCCACAGGGGTGAGCAGTGAGACCCCCTCCACATGTCAGGAATCTGGGCCCCAGGGGGGCTCAGTAGGGTTGTGCCAGCCTAGCAAGCATGAGGCCCTGAGTTCAAACCCCAGCACTGCCAAAAGAGACAGAGGATTTTGGCAGCCATGTGGGAGAAGGATCGGAGAATCAAGAGAATGAATTAGACTCATTTCCAAGCTGCAGTCCCCAGAAATACAGAAGAAACCTCCCACAGGCTCCAAGCCTGTCCAGCCTGTTCCTTCTGTGCCATTCTTGGTGCTTGAACTCAGGGCCTAGGCGCTGTCCTGAGCTTTTTTCACTCAAGGCTAGCACTCTACTGCTTGAGCCATAGTTCTACTTCTGGCCTTTTGGGTGGATAGTTGGAGATAAGAGTCTCACAGACTTTTCTGCCCAGGCTGGCTTTGAACCAGGATTCTCAAATCAGCCTCCTGAGTAGCTAGGATGACAGGTGTGAGCCATCAGTACCTTGCTCAAGCTAATTTTTTGACAAGGAAAAGGAACCGATAAAGCTTACATCTCTGGAAATTGCTTTTTCTATAAACCTTGCCCAGGAAGCAAGGTAATGGGTTATGGTGGAGTTTCTTCTAGAATGGCTGCAGATCCATGCAGATTCTCACCAGGCACTGTCAGAAGTGCTCATTTGTGCTGACCACACCCCTGGGGGCGTGGCCACTGGCACTGTCTCCACACCCCAGACATGGAGGATAGGGGCCCAGTGGCCTCCCAGAGCTCCACCGTGATGCCTAGCTCTGAAGGGGCTCACAGGTGGATTCTCAACTGTCTGGGGAAACAAACCTGTTGGTTCTTCCTGTTTGGAGCAGTGGTGATGACCGTGCCACACAGTTGGCCAGTGCTGGGCAGAAAGATGTGTTGTTTTCATACTTTGGAGTTGTTAGTGGGGGAAAGGAGCTTAGACATCTTAGTGGAGGGGAGCAGAATTGCAAGAAACTGAAGAGGCCAGTGAGTGAGTGTGTGTGTGTGTGTGTGTGTGTGTGTGTTTGCACGTCTGTGTATCTGTGTGAAAGTAATAGACAGGCCTGGCGGTGGGGGGAGGGGGGTAGAGGGTGTCGATCCAGGGCCTCTGGTGCAATCATTCATCAGCTCACTTCTGCAATGCAGGCATGGTCTAGGCCTCTTTTATATTTTCCCCTCCCTCCCTTCCTCTTGTACGCACGTGCTGGTCCTGAGGCTTTCACTCAGAGCCTGGGTGCTGTTCCTTAGCTTTTTTGCTCAGGCTGGCACTCTAGGACTTGAACCATGACTCCACTTCTAGCTTTTTGGTGGTTCATTGGAGAGAAGAGTCTCACTGACTTTCCTGCCTGGGCTGGCTTCAAACAGCGATCCTCAGATCTCAGCCTCCTAAGTTGCTAGGATGACAGGTGTGAGCCACCACACCTGGCCAGGCCTGTTTAGATGGATGGCTTCCTCCTGTGGTCAGGCCTGAGGGCTGCCTGGGTGCGGCTTTAGAGTAAGTTGTCTTTCTTGTATCTTGTACCCCTCCTCCCCCCAACAAAAGTGATAAGCTTCAGCTGAAGAGAACAGACATGGAATGTCCGTGGTTTCGGCCCTGGCTCCCGTTCCTGTGACTGGAGCTGCAGCGTCAGCCCCTCTGAGGGGCGGCTGTCTTGGTCAGGCTGTGAACTTGGTGGGGGTAGGGGTGAGGAGTTGCGGTTATCACTTGGCAGCCCAGTTGCCTTAGAAAGTAGTATGTTCCAGAACTCTCAAGTCTTCCCGTTCTCAGAGGGAGATGCATGATGGTAGTTCTTCTTAGCTACCTACTTTAAAAAAATACATACATATTTTTGAGATGGGGTCTCACTGCATTGCCTGGTCTGGCCGTGGATTCCTAGGCTTAGGTGATCTCTCTCAGCCTTCCATACAGCTGGGAGAACAGATGTGGGACATTTTATTTCTTTACCTATTTTCTTGGGCTAGGGATGGAACCCAGGGTCTGACACATGCAAGGCCAGGGCTGTTGTGCTGAGCCACACTGCCAATCCGGCTTGTGCTCATTAATTGGACATAGTCTCCTGGATTCTTCTGCTCAGGCGGACTTCAGACCATGATCCTCTAGATCTCTGCTTCATATAGTGCTAGGGTTACTGGCATGAGCCCCAGTGCCTGATGTCAACCCCCCCCCCCCCGCCCAAGGTGCTAGGTTGTCACCCTGATCTAGCTTTGCTTATTTAACAAAATACTCCCTCATCAAACAGTGTTTCTCCCTTGCTAAGCACGGTGCACTGTAATGGTTTCTGTTCATTTAAAACTCCATCTTCAAACCATACCTGTCCGCTCACAACCACCATCAGTTCTGACACAACCCACAAATGGGCAGCAGCGGGATTTGAGACCTTGTGCAGGAGCCAGCCCAGCACAGACAGCCATGGCGCTCTGGGTTCCCAAGTTCCTGTTACCTTATTGTCTGTGTGCCCTGTCTTCCAATCCTCTCCTGGTGTGTGTCTGGGTCTAATTACTCCCCGCCCCCTTTAAGGGTGTGTGTGTGTGTGTGTGTGTGGTACTAGAACTTGAACTCTGGGTCTCTTACTCTTGCTTGGCTTTTTTGCTTCTAACTGGTGCTTTCCCACTTGAGCCACATTTCTACTTCAGACTTTTTGCTGGTTAAATAATCGGAGTAAGAGTCTTAGGAACTTTCCTGCCTGGGCTGGCTTTGAACCATGATCCTCAGATCTCAGCCTTCTGAGTAGCTAGGATTACAGGCTTGAGCCTCAGTGCCTTCTAAGGGACTCACAGCTCCTTTGTACAACTACTTAATGATAATGAAAATACAATGTAAATTAAAAATGTGCATGGTGCCATTCCCCAAGGACCCTGCTGTCAGGGTCGTAATCCACACACGTGTGTGTGTGTGTGTGTGTGTGTGTGTGTGTGTGTGTGTGTGTGTGTGTGTGTGTGTGCAGGGGACATCAGACCCCAACCCCCTGTCCATCTGTCCGCTGAGCCCCCAAAACCACCGCAGCCCCCTTTCCCGTGTGGCTTCTCATCTGCACTCCGAATTTAGATTAGGGTGAAAAGTGGAGAGAAGGAAATGAGCCAGAAAATAGAAAATTAATACTTGGTAGAATTGTCATATTTCAAAATTAATTTACAGGCGATGTCAGACAACCAGAGTTAAATCATGATATCAGCAGGCCATTCTAGGACTTAAAATATTGGCATCCATCACTGTAAATGGGGTCCTAAGAGCTGGGGGAGCGATCTCTAGGGAGGAGGCCAGTGCAAGGTGGGCGGGAATAAATACTTGATTAGCTAAATTGTGCTACATCATATTGAGTGATAACGGTATGTGAAATGGTAATAGGATGGACTGAATTATTTGGGTTTACAGTTAGCCTACTTTTCATGTGTGTGAATGTGGGTTACACGCACATGTTGGTACTGAGGCTTGAACTCGGTGGGGGGGCTTTCATTCTTGCTTGGCTCTTGCTTTCATTCAAGATTGGGGTGCTCAACCACTTGAGCACTTGGTTTTTGCTGGTTAATTGGAGATAAGAGTTTCATGAACTTGCCTGCCAAGGCTGGCTTTGAACAAGGATCCTAATGTCAGCCTCCTAATGAGCTGGGATGACCAGTGTGATCTACTAGGCTGGGATGTGTTTAACTAACTCTAGAACTTGATCTTCTTGGCCAGTGCTGGGGAGCTGGCTGTGGAGGTACCGATTCCTGCGCCATCTGCTTTCTCAGCCTCTTGTGGAGCCCTGTTTATCCCAGAGACTCTTTACGCCACCATCTGCCCTATGACCAAACATTTCTGGTTGCCTCCTTCACTCCGGGGGAGATTTCTCCAGGATTAAGCACCTGCCTCTCATCTCCTGTCCTTACAGCTGTGTGTCGAGGTCGAGTGGTACAGGTCCCCGCGGGGGCCCTGGTCCGAGTGGTGGGCACTGAGCTGGTCATCCCCTGCAACGTCAGCGACTACGATGGCCCCAGCGAGCAGAACTTTGACTGGAGCTTCTCGTCCCCTGGTGGCAGCGGCGGCTTCGTGGAGCTGGCCAGCACGTGGGAGGCGGGCTTCCCCGCACAGCCCTACCGGGAGCGGCTGCGGACCGGCCAGGTGGTGCTGAGGAGGACGGCCAACGACGCCGTGGAGCTGCACATCAAGAACGTCCAGCCATCAGACCAGGGCCTGTATAAGTGTTCCACACCCAGCACGGACGCCACAGTCCAGGGCAACTATGAGGACACGGTGCAGGTTAAAGGTAGGCTGGCACCGCTGCCACTGGCCATGCGCTGCTCCCAGGGCCCATGCCTGGCTCAGGCAGCGTGCTTCACACCTGTCTGTGATCCCAGCTCCTGGGGAGGCTGAGATCTGGAGATCGTACTTCAGAACAGCGCAGGCAGAAAAGTTGCCAAGATGTTCATCTCCATTTCACCAGCAAAGAGCTGGAAGTGGAGGTGCAGCCTGAGTGGTAGAGCACAAGCCTAGAGTAGAAAGAGCTAAGGAACAATGCCCAGGCCCTGAGTTCAAGCCCCAGATGCTGGCAGGGAAAGAAGGTGAGCCAACTGACCTCCAGCCACCCTTCCTCCTCCCTGCGGGTGAAAGGGCTCCTGGCCCACGAGATGCAGGCAGTGTAGGACCCTGCCAGCAGTGTAGTGCCAAAGCCAGGTGGCTGGCACCCAGCCCAATGACCGGCACTGCCATTTGTCAGCTCCATGGCGGTGGGCGTGTTTCGTATCCCAGCTTCCTCCTCTCCTCAGAGGTGTGGGGACTGGCGAGGTAACCCTGGCCGGGACTGAGAGCAGTGCCATCCCATCACTGGCTAGTGGCAGGAAATTGTTGTCCCACAGTAGCATCAGAGTTGATAGGAATAGCTGATCCTGCACAGTTCACCTCCTGTGACCTTCACGGCTTACATACCTGTCACCCTGGAAGTTGTGAGTCTTCTGTAGAAAGAACTATGTGCTCACCCTGAGTTCATTGACCTGACTGCAGTTTAAAGCTTCTTGCAGGTTAACTGGAGATAAGGGCCTTTCAGACTCTCCTGCCCAGGTGGCTTTGGATCCTTGGTCCTCAGTTCTTGGCCTCCTGAGCAACCAGGATTACTGGGATGAGCCGCGGCATGCACCGAGCCTCCTCTTGTCTTTTATGGTTTTCGTGCTCCAAGTAGATTTGCTCCCACATTCAGTCTCTGACTCCAATGAAGAGGATAGGATAGGATAATTTACACACAAAAGAAATGAAAGAACATACGTAATTACTTGCCTCAAATCACCCAGCTAATTAGTAAATGAGCAAGAACAAACCATTTTAATTTGAGGCTCACAACATAGAAACGATATTATTGTTATTATTTTATATTAATGCTGCATTTCTCCTTGCCTTTGCTTTTCCCATGAAGATTTGGATTGGAATAGGGATAGCCATGATTAAATGATGCTATGGAGGATAGCAGTGATTGAGCAGTGATTGGAGAAGGCGCTGCACCTCAGATACGATTCCCTCCATAAAGTTCCAGCCATGTGCATGAGAAACTATGAATTAAAGCCTTCATACATTAAATATACCTCACCCATTACGTCTTCCTTATTCCTGTAGGAAATCCTCAGTGATTTTTGTTTGTATGCTCTGTGCCAGTCCTGGGGCTTGAACCCAGGGGCAGGGTGCTTTCCTTAGCTCTTCTGCCCAAAGCTGACACTCTCCACTTGAGCCACAGCTCTGTCTCTGGCTTTTTTTTCGCTGGTGAGAGAGAAGACTCTGGATTTTTCTGCCTGGGCTGGTTTTGTACTATTCAGATCTCTGTCTCTAGAGTAACTAGGATTAAGGTGCTAGCTACCACTCCCTGGCTTTTCTTTTTCCTTCTTTCCCTTCTGGGAGTAGGAAATAGCAGCCTTGTCCCTAGCCCAGGACTAGAATCCTCTGGTCCTTAAGGGCCTGGGGTCTTACACACAGGTGCTGTGCAGGGTCTAGTATGCAAGTGCTGGTACAGGGTTTTGCATATGGGTGCTGTGCAGGGTCCCTCACCGACCCACCCCCTCTCTCCACAGTGCTGGCTGACGCCCTGAGGGTGGGCCCCACGGAGCGGCCCGCACCCAGCTTGAGCCTGCGGGAGGGAGAGCCCGTGGAGCTGCGGTGCGCGGCCTCCTCGTCCCCGACCCCCGCGCCTGAGGCCTCACCTTCGCCCGCGCCCG